TCGGCCACACCGAAGAGAAGGCCCGCCGCCTAAACATGGGCTGCAAGGCGCGCGTGGCAACCCGGCCAACCCTTCGACCACAAGAACGGCCACGGCTACGTCAAGGCGCATCGCGGTTTCTACCACGACGCGATCTTTGTCAAGCGCAACAACTTCAACCTGCTGCTCCACGAGACGTTCGGCGGCGGCTTCTCGCCCACCGCCGTTCTCAAGCTGCGCCGCCTCGCGCGCAAAGTCGCGCGCGGCAGCGTCGACCGCACGGCCTACTCGCCCAAGTACTCGCTCTCTTTTATGTCCCACCATGCAGAGCGCATCTCTCTCTCTGTTGTGCGAGGCGTGAACCGCGCCATTCGCTCTCACCTGGCAACCCTGTCTGCACGTCTCGCGCGCGCGTGAACAGGGCTCCAGGCCCCAAATGACGTGTGAGTGTTAGAGTTGTTTGGTATTGCTAAAAATCTCTCTCTCCTTCCAGCCCACCTTGTGCCGTGCCTCTTCGATTCTTTTTGGCTTGGATGGCCGCTCTGTGCGGTCGGTGCGCCCCGGAATTCTTTTTGCGATTCAGTGCCACCAGCTTTCGACAGCTTGCAAAGAAAGACGCCGCCGCTGTTTTGCTCTGATGGCAGGCCGCGGGAGAAAAAGAAAAAAGCTCGCGCCATGGAGGCGCGCCTCGCTCTCCTCGTCTGCTGCTGCTGCCTCCATCTCTCCTGCGGCTCCAGCGCCGGCGACGACTTCTACTCTCTCCTCGGTGTCTCGCACGACGTCGACGACAAGGGGCTCAAGAAGGCGTACCGGGCGCTGGCGCTGAAGAACCACCCTGACAAGGCGACCGGCTCTGACGAGGAGAAGGCGGAGGCGAAAGCGAAATTCGTGCGAGCGGGCCGCGCGTACGAGGTGCTCTCGAGCAAGGAGATGCGCGACGTCTACGACGCCGTCGGAGAGGAGGGCCTCGAGCGGTGGATGAGTAGCCGCAACGACGCCAGCGGTGGCGGCGGCGGCGGCGGCGGCGGCGGCGGAGGCGGCAGCGGCGGTGGCGGCGGTTTCGGCGGCGACGGAGGTGGCGGCGGGTTCGGCGGCGGGTTCGGCGGCGGGTTTGGCGGCGCCTACGGCGGCTACGGCGGCGGCGGCGCGCACGGCCACCCCTTTGCTGGGTTTGGCTTCAGCGACCCGCATGAGCTGTTTGCCGCCGCGTTTGGGCAAGGGTTCCGGGTATGGGCCTGGGCAC